TGGACGACCTGCAGTAACATCACAACGTCATGACCGACAAATTGTGCGTAATCATCTGCAGGATCGCTTCACCAGAGCCACGGAAATAGCTCGCCAGACCGCTGGGACTCACAAGAGAACCATTAGTGCCGATACATTGCATCGACGTTTGCGTGAAAGAAACCTCTGCTGTCACAGACCATATCGTGGTCCTGTCCTCACTGCTCGTTACCGCCCAAACCGACTGCAATGGGCAACTCAGCATTGAAACTGACGTTATCGGGAATGGAGAACTGTGCTTTTTTTCTGATGAAAGCCGATATTGTGTTTCGACAACCGATGGCAGAGTGAGAGTATGGCGAAGGCATGGGGAACGGTTTTCCAATGCGTGTTTTGTTGAAAGAGACTCGTGGGCTGGTCCAAGCATCATGGTGTGGGGTGCAATCGATCTGAACCAGAGAGTTGGCCCCATGGTATTTCAGAAGCACGGTCCACGACAAAGAAATGGCGTGACAGGTCATAAGACCCCACGTTGTACCACATTTTTAACGTCGCAGAAATCACATCTTCCGGCAGGACAACGCTCGTGCCCACACTGCCAGGGCAACACTGGACTTCCTAAGACAACATGGCATCCAACCCCTTCAATGGCCGATTTAAGTCCAATAGAACATTTTGAGACGATATTCAAAGAAGACTGAATGACCTTCAACCAAGGCCGAAAACTCCGGCTGAACTCGATCAGGCATTAAGCAGAGTACGGACCCAAGTGCTATGGCCTTCAACAACCGGCTAATTCATTCCATGTACAGACCACCAAACGCCGTCATCGATGCCCATGGAGGCCAACACGATACTGACTTTCTGGTATATTAGTGGGACCATTATTTTTGGTGAATTTGTTTGTGTGAACTCTTAATGTGATTCCCGAACATGTGTTAACCGTAATTGTCAAGTTTAAACGCAATCCTCCGTTTTGATTGTTAATTAGAGCGAATTAGAGTGTGTGGTGTAAGTAACCTCTATCGTTTCGCGTTTCTTTTGCGGTTCAACCTCTGAAGGTCCGGGTTAGAATGAACCTTCAGTAACCCATGCTTGTCTTAAGAGGCGACTAACGGGATCGGGTGGTCAGGCTCGCTGGCTTGGTTGCCACATGTCATCGGTTCCCAATTGCGCAGATTGATGCTTATGCTGTTGATCACTTGATTGTCTGGTCCGGACTCGATTATTTACAGACCGCCAGCTGCTGAGTGCGGTGTAAAACTAAACTCACTCAGTCACTCTTTTGCGGTTCAGTATAGTTTTTTCACATGTTCTACATTTATGTGTCATGAATGTGTAATTTGTTTTGGTCACTATATGGCTGAAATACTGCCGATGTGACCATACTTTTTTCATACTACATGTTTTTAATCGTAGAATATGTGTTCTTTTAATTTGTCAAAACTGGAATAATATCGCGAACGACTGAAGGGATGAAGTAAATCTAGCTGGGGTCCATGCAGGTAGCAAAAGCACTAAGTCCGAATGGTCCCTAGTATGCTGATCTACCTTCAGTTGTTGGCGTTATATTTCTTTTCATATTGTATTGTCCCAAATAGTCATATAATTTTATGTTAAATGCTAGTTTTCATATCTCAGATTGTGATATTCTGGTTATTTTACTGTCCTTTGTCGACAGGTTTCATTCATATTGTAGTATTACCTATTGTTGACCTACTGTCTGTTTTAGTCACGATATGGTTGAAATATTGCCGATGTGAGTATAAAGTATAACTCACCCAGTCACGCCATAAATCTTAACTCACTCTCTCACACTACACCACCGAACAAAGAACATCTTACCCACATGAAGAAATTGACGGCAAAAGGCGTTGACAAGAAACATTGTGCATTAGTGCTGTGAGAAGTTACCAACGTGAACAGTTTGGACTTCTACAGGACATCAGTAACTCGCTTGAGCTGCCATGTCTAACTGTCAGCGCGAATACAAAGAAAATAGTGTTAATAACTCTACCCAGAATATTAGCAAGATACAGCCTTGTATTTATATTGTATTGTCATTTATAGTTCCAATATTTTAGATTTAATTGCTAATTTTAAATGGATATCTGTGATACACTAGTAGTTTTACTGTTCTTCGTCAACAGGTTTTTTAATTTCTAACTTTATTCATCTTTAATATAATTATAAAATGTTCTCGTCACGATATGGCCGAAATATTGCCGATGTGACGATAAATATTAACTCACTCACTCGCTCTACCCAGAATATCAGGGATAAATCTGTTTCTGAAGATTCTAATAAAAACAAATTTATTTTGGATATACCCGATTGTGCTGAAACTGGTGTCACCTGTAAAGACGTAAAATAAGTCACTGCTGACTAAGTGATATATTGCATTATGTTTGTTTCTTTGTTTGTTTGTGTAACGTCAGCTGTTTTCATTTTTGACATTCGAGTCACGTCGACCTCGCGTCAGTAAAAAAAACCCCCCAAAACAGCTTGCTGGGCGTGTCCTAATGTCTGCTGAATCCTGAGTTCTTAATCATTTAAGAGTCTATTACCAGGGAAATGGGATCATTTGATTGGTTTAAAAGGCAGGTTGAGTTCTAAGCCCAGAAAACAATATCAGAGATCAAGCCGAGTTGAAGACCTGTCAAAACGTAGTAGTGACAGTCATAATCCAGACCCATTAATAGCTCATGACATACCCGGTGTATCAGAGAATGAGATAAATCATCACATATCGGCAGTGACAATAATTAACTGAACATGCAATGCGTCAGCCAAACTGGAAGTGAAGATGAAAGTGAAAAGGGTTAGTCAAACTCGGAACACAATCATGGGGCCGGGTCAGGTGTAAATGCATCTGAACAGGCTGTGGTATTAAATGTTCCGTTATCAGGAAACACCGTAGGGACTTCATTAAAGAACGGCCGTAACAACGTGTGTTTTTAGTCACAGTCATCTTTAATACCAAGGGACATAACTCGGTGTCATTTGCGTACCGCTAATATCCACAAAGAGATGTGAGATTACAACTAGTACTGAACATAGAGATTTTTTCTGGGTTACATCTTCTTTTTTATTGTCAGAAAAATCTCTATGTTCATCAAATATCATCTTCTAAAATGCCAATCAAGCATCTACAACTAGTACTGCAATGCCAACAGCAAAAAGTGTCATCTGGTACTGACAAATATATACTGAGAGAAACAAATAAAGGAACACATAAATATTCAGGATTTGCTATAATATTTTCCATGTTTCATCACCAGCTTTGAAGGTCATGAAGAGGTGTTCCCTTATTCGTTTCCCTCAGTTTTTCAATGTCAGACTTTCGGTTCTGAAACCTGTCAGAGACCATTGTTCTACCCTGTACGTTATGTAAATGGAGACTGTACTTTATATCATCACCAACAGCTCACTGCCACTAGTGAGTGAGTGAGTGAGTGAGTATGGGTTTACGCCACTTTTAGCAATATTCCAGCAATATCACGGCGGGAGACACCAGAATTAGGGAGATTCGAGCCCGGGTCTTCAGCGTGACGAGCGGACGCTACTCCACAGTCCCCTTAGGGATCGACCATGACATACATGTATTCGAGGTGGGGTGGGGGTTGTGCCTGGGATATAATTCCTCAAACCCAGTTTCCTAACATGCTTGATGAAATTATATGTCGCTTTATAAAGTATAATGAAAGAATTAAGGGTCACAAAAAGGTGTCGCAGCAGCCAGCTGCTTGAGTGAGTGAGTGAGAGACGTCAGAAACTCGGACTATGATATGGTGAATGACTGAGAGATTAATATTTCGTAATACGTTTCTTCCTTGGGAGTATGATAATCTAATGTTTGTTGATAATGCCGCACTCAGCAATATCCCAGTTATGGCGGTGGTCTTTGAGTAATCGAGTCGGGACCAGGTAGTCCAGTGATCAACAGCATCAGCATCGATCTGCAATCGGGATGCAATGACATGTGTCAACCAAGTCAGTGAGCCTGACCACCCGATCCCTTTAGTTGCCTCTTATGCGCGAGGGGGGCATTTTGTGCCGGAAGCTCTCTGGCTAGGAATGTATGCTCATACATCTGTAGAAACCACCAGTGCCACTGCTGAAATGAACGAGCATGGCTTTGAACTTCTTCAACACCCTCGTCTTTTTTCCCTAATCTAGGCAAGTCAATCAAACAAGAGGAAACGTCTAGTCAGAAACCATTTCGACTCCAATGCTTTCGAACACATGTGTAGACAACTGAAAGGACATCTCCGACACTGGAATAATATCGCCAAACATCGTTTAAAATTTCAAATATGGAATTGGATTAAGTCAGGCGCGTAGCAAGCCAATATTTTCGTGTAAGCCCGATAGATTGCAAAGCTTTATATTCAGATTGTATTGAGGGCCTGCCCAACCTATTTAGCAACAATCATGTGTAAGCCCGGATCTTTTTTATGATGATAGCTACGCCCCTGTGAGTTAAAATCGATATCATATGATCATCATCAGGGGAAACATTTTGTGTGAGGTTCAGACCTCCTAGTCCCTATATTAGCGCCATAAAAAACTGATAGACCCTAACATGTTTTCTGTACTATTCCTACTGATATGCAATTACAGATATCCAAATCGTATATATTAAAATGAATATGTTCTCAGAAGTGCTGCTGTGTGATCAAGCTGCAGAAATGTGTGGTTGATGAAAACTCCCTTGACGGGCCAGTACACAATTTCCTGCAGCATTTAATGTCACATCGGTAATATTTTAGCGATCAATTTTATGTACTAAATGCAGAGTACCGTATTTCCCAAACATAAGCATCTGGGCGCTCTTTTTTTCAACGGAGTTGCAGACCCGGCGCTTATAAGAGGCCCGATTCTTTTGCGCTTACTGGGTCTAATTACCGTAATTGTTAGTAAGTTGGTTTATCCTCGGCGCGTATTAGAGGCCCGGCGATTATTAGAGGAAATACGGTAATTACAAATTTCTACTCTTATTCATTAAAGTAAACCTGTTCTTAGAAGTAAGACATGTGATCCAGCTGTAGAAATGTCTGGTTAATGACTTTGAACACTCTGTGGACGGGCCAGTACATCATATCCGGTCCTGCAGTCAGAGCTCCTCCATCACACTTCCTTGTGAACCACCAGCCCCCTCTTTCTTGGCGGGCGCACCCCCAACAATCCCGATCATATGTACAGAAGCGTCTCGGCTTCTCCAAGGTTCTAAAGGCGTCGTCTCCATATTCGTCAGGTAAGGTGAAATATCGATCAAAGTTAAGACTATAACCAGTCGTCTCTGACTCGAGGACTGTGTTCTCTAGGTAAATACTTGCTATTTTGAACGGTGCCCCGTCAACTAAGTTGTATATGTTCCATTGAAGTTTTTCAAACATTGTCAGTTGGTAGATGGTTTCCAGCCCGAGGAAGTACTCGCCGCAGTCGATGTCGCCGAATCCTCTTTTGTATTCCTCCCACGTTCGGTGGTAAGTTATAGGTCGACATGATCGAGGAGGGGGAATTACTCTTTTGAAGGCGTAGATGGTGCCGACCCACTCACAGTTGCAATATACCGTGTAGGTTTTAGGGGAGCCCAACGGTTTAATTTTATAGAAGCCCATTCCACGTACCCCAAGGAGGAATGCCTCTCTGCAGCCTGAATTTACAATGCAATGAAGCTTATAGATAGAACGGCCATAATCGAAGGTAAAGAGTGAGTGACATTCTATTATTGATTAAATGTCATTTCGAACATCGAGGTGGATTACTACATGGTTATTTTAAATTGTATATTCAACCGAAAGGAATGATAATTCAACTCGTTATTTGAGTCAGATGACACTGAAAGCACAAACTGATTCTTTGGTTGGTTTGTTAACTCCGCACCCAGCAATATTCCAGCTAACATACCGCGGTCTCGATCAGACAATCAAGTGATCATTTCTTGTGATATTATCATGTGGTATGCACGCAACATCATGATCATTAACTAAGAACCACTTGAATCTAAAGGCAAATTTAAACACTTTTGTCCAAACAGGCAACCATTCCCTAAAATTTCAGCATATACACGCACAGCTTCACAAAATATCTAAAATGGCCGCATGTTCACGTACATTGGGAATACAGAAGAAGAAATATATTTTATTTACGTGTCACATGCTCAAAGAATCATTAAAATATAATATGAAACAGCATCCGGCCCTCAGGCTTAGGAGACACAATGTTACACACACGGATCCTCACCCCATACGGATTCATTCACTCATGATCACTCTCAGATCCTCACTCCATACAGATTCATTCACTCATGATCACTCTCAGATCCTCACTCCATACAGATTCATTCACTCATGATCACTCTCAGATCCTCACCCCATACAGATTCATTCACTCATGATCACTCTCAGATCCTCACCCCATACGGATTCATTTACTCATGATCACTCTCAGATCCTCACTCCATACAGATTCATTCACTCATGATCACTCTCAGATCCTCACTCCATACAGATTCATTCACTCATGATCACTCTCAGATCCTCACTCCATGCAGATTCATTCACCCGTACATGCACATTTAAATACACAAATATTAAGAAAATATGCCTATTGATTGTACATATTCAGATATAAATTGCAGGTTAGAATTACCACTGTACATTCGTTATGGTATTGTTTGAGTTAATATACAAAATATTGGTACATACTTTACAACCTTGTGCAACGACAAACATGTACCATTTTACATACAGTTGCGGCTAAAGATTTACAAAGCTTATTATTTTGCATTAAATAAATTATTTTATCAGTGAGGCTAAGTAGGGGAATAATACTGTTTAAATTTGTAGATTGCTTCCATAGCCATGAACGGATATCATTATACACACAATACATTTCGTATTTGGAGTATATGAACTACAGTTTTCTGATCCCAATTAAAAGGACTAGCACTTGCAACTTTTGGAGGTTATTTCTATGCATGACTCGGGGATTTCAAGCCGCAATATCGTGATGTTGGGTCCCTATTCGTCTTGAGATGACAGTGAAAGGTGTGTTAAGAGATTTTATGGAAGCTTCGCTTCATCTAGATGATACCGCATCTCTTCCCATTTAACGAGTGCATAGGCTACATTCAAAGTCTGGAACTCGGCCTATCATTGTCAGATTTACGTTATTTAAAGATAAATGTGCTGTTCTGGACGCTGCCAAAAGAATCTCAAGGGCAACAAAGACTTCAGTCTCAGAAGATTTTACTGAGAGAGTGCGTATAGCTAGGTCCAAACTATTCCCCTTCATGAAGGCTGCGCGAGATGAGGGTAAAGTGTCTCATATGAACTATGACAAGCTAGTAATAGATGGTGCTGTCTATGTGTTTGACTATGAGATGAAAGATATTAGACAGGTAGGCCAGAGGCGTGGATGGGTTTCTCATAAACCAAACCAGTCGCATCTCTAAGAATCTGTCTCTCCACGATAAGATTCCGGCCATGACTCCAGTTCATCCAAAACACAGTTTGAATATGCAGATGACTCTCACAATATAAATACTTGCAACACCAAGGAACAGGATTACCCAACTACAATTTCTACTCAGTCGCCTGTACATATTTCTACTTCAGTAACTGATACGGTAACCTCTCAGGATACTGATGCAGATCAACATACTGCCTGCAGTAAAACAGCAAATAATGAAATGACCACAATATGTACATGGAACATACATGGCTTTAAATCAAAAGGTAAGTATACTGAATCTATAGGTTTTTGTAAACATTTTGATATATTTTTTTTACTTGAAACAATGTGTTCTGATTCATCAAATGAGTTGCAGACTATCTTTCATGAATACGATATCTTTGTTAGCAATGCTAAACGTTCTGGAAGCAAAGGACGGTTTTCAGGCGGAATTGCTGTTTGTATAAACAAATGTACATCTTCTTATTTTGCAAGAGTTTACTGCCAGTGGGAAAATACTTAATTCTTCAGATGCACAAATGACCAGTTACCCTTCCACCTGTTCCTGGTATTTGCATACATCAACCTTGAACATTCTCCTGTCTACCATAATGAGGAATCTAACGGTATACACAACTTGCAAGACCAACTTAGTCAAATCATGTTCGACTATGGAGAAAACTGTAAATTCATTATCAGTGGTGATTTTAATGCAAGGACGGGGACTGAAATTGATTACATTATTGATGATGAAACAGAATATATACCTGTCGATCAAGACTACAGATCTGATAACTTCTGTTGCAGTAGAGAATCATGTGATACAGTCGTTAATAACTTTGTTAGATGCTTATTAGATATGTGTAAATTGATGGCTGTTCATATTGTAAATGGACGATTTGGTGGTGATAATGTGGGTGATTTTACGTTTGTTTCACACACTGGGTGTAGTACAGTTGACTACTTATATATTTCTTCTGATTTGTTCTCTGATGTTATTGATCTGTCTGTTCACAGTAGAACAGAAAGTGACCATTTGCCAGTGAATTTGATAAATTGGTATCTGAATTTTTAGATTGTCACTCATGCGCAACCATTGAATGAATTAAAGATTGGTAAAGCTCCTGGTATTGATGGAATATCACCTGAATTTCTTAAGAGTATAAGTCAGTTCATAATTCCGTATCTTAAACTATTGTTTAATAAGATTTTAGATACTGGTGTATTTCCAGATGCTTGGAATGTAGGAATGATACTTTCTCTTTATAAGTTTGGAAACAAATTGGAACCCAGCAATTATAGGGGTATACTATATTAAATGTCACAGGTCAACTATTTTCTGCTGTAATTGAAAAACGTATCAGAATTTGGCTTGATGTAAATGATTTACTATCAGAAGCCCAAGCAGGATTTCGACCTCACTATAGTAGACAATGTATACTGAGTCAAAAAAGAAACTTCACATTCTTTCTTCAGGGCACTATAAAAGAACAAGAGATGGTAAGATGGTTAAATTGTTATTATTTCATTGCTGAGATCTGTGTGATGTACTCGATACACTGACAGTGCCATAATCAGTTCCATTAGGCTACACCGCCGTTCCAAAACATGGGTATACGGAATGTCAAGTCACAAGAATAAAAATGCGAAATTTCTCAGTTCAATATCGTGTATGGCCGCCCCGCGCATTCACCACCGCCAAACACCGTCTCCTCATCGACTGCCTGATGCTTGTGAACACGTGGTTGGGGATTCTGCGCCATTGCTCTTGCAAGGCAGCGCCAAGTTCCTGCAAATTCTGAGGTTGGTTCCTAAGACAACGAAGCCTTCTCCCAAGTGCATCCCAAACGTGCTCTATTGGATTAAGGTCAGGGGACCTCGATGGCCAGTCCATGACGTTGATTCCAGCGTTTTGAAGGGAATTTCGTGTCAACATCGCGGTATGCGGCCGAGCATTATCATGCTGGAACTGTAGACCTGGGCCATGAGCCGCCATGGAAGGAACGAGTTCAGGGGTGAGCACCTGGTCGCGGTAAGCAGCAGCTGTGAGGTTTCCACGGATGACCAGAAGTCGGGAACGGTTGTGCCCACAGAAAGCACCCCCACACCATGCAACTTCCGCCCCCGAATCTGTCGATTTCCTGTACACAACATTGGGCATACCGTTCACGACGTCGTCTCCAGACTCTATGCCTGCCGTCCGCGAATCTGAGGGTAAACCTGGATTCATCGCTAAAGACGACTCGATTCCAGTCTCTCTGGGTCCATCGGAGGTGACGTTGGGCCCACAGCAGACGTTGATGTTGATGAAACGGCGTCAATATTGGCCCACGATATGGACGTCGAGAATGGAGATTGGCAGCCCACAACCGATTTCGAATGGTCTTTGAGGACAGTCCACCTCTAAACATCTCAGCCCTGGTTCGTGTAGCCGGCAGAAATCTGTCACGTAGGTCGATTTGACGGCCTTCTGCTCGTGACGTCACACGTGGACGACCCGACCTTGGGCGATCAGAAGTGGTGCAAGTTTGTTGTAGACAACCTCGCAAGTCATACACAGTACGACGCCTGCATCCCATTCCTCTTGCAACGTCAATAACTGATCTTCCCGCTTGCAACATGCCAACGGCACGTTCACGTTGCACATTTGACAATCGTGGCATTTCAAGTACCGTTAGAACTGTGGTTTAAAAGTGTTTTTTCAATTCTTGAGGCCAATGCAAACACGTGCATATGAAGAAAACTTCGATGCGAAGGTCACGTGATCGACTGCACATGCAAAAGCTGATTTGGCACTAACGTCATTTGCACGACGAATGGATGGGTTTGATTGGGTTTTGCTAACGTTTTTCTAGAGTCGAAAGATAGGGATCCCATTTCGGATATATAGATGTATCATCAGAGAAAAATTATTCATTATTTTTCAAATTACATTTTGTGAAGTTTCTTTTTTGACTCAGTATATTTGTTCTTCAAGCTTTATGTACTAAATACCTTAGTAGACCAAAGGGGCGTTTTTATTGCGCATTTATTGATTTTAAAAAGGCTTTTGATTATGTGGATAGGAAGAAAATGCTTAATGCTTATTGATTCCTAAAGGTTTCAAGAGGAACAAGAAGACAAAGTCATCAATATCCCCCGCAATGGCAAAATACTCTTCATG